CATGTACCATCATGTTCATATTTACTTGTGTTTTTGTGTCTGTCTACGTAGTTGTCCGTGGAGCTGGAGTTACAGGTGTTTGTAGGACATAGCTGCTGGAACCCAAACCTTGTACTCATGATTGAGCATCTACTAAGGTCTCTCTCTAATCCACAATGGTTTGATTTATTGGATGTGTGTATTTTGCCTTCATGTGTTATGTATGTGCACTGCGTGCATGTCTGGTGCCCCTGAGGTCAGAAGAGGGCATTGGATCCTCTGGAACTTAAGTTACAGATAGTTGTGGGCTACCATGTGTATTGGGAAACAAACCTTGGTCCTCTGCAAGAAAAACAAGTGCTCTTAACCTGGGAGTCATTTCCCCAACCCTGATATATTTTTAAAACCACCCAAAATTGCTACCTTAAGTACTTCTTTTGCTTAATTGATCTGTAATAGTTATTCAAAGTCAACCCCAAAATGTCACACAACAGACTGTCCCACTATACTACTACTACTACTAATGATGGTCTAAGTTGCTACCTGTGGTCAATTTAAAAGACACAACATAAACCTTGTAGGCACTCATCAAATCTTTATTTAAAATAGACAAACCTGGAATTTTGAGGACATGAACTCTCCACCACTATTCCAATTCAGATCTCAGGGCTTCATGTCCATTATGTTTTCAACAGCACTTCCAAGGTAGAACATTGAGAATTCCAGGCAGCTTAGCAATGCTACTAGGCTTCAGATGAAGAAACAGAAGAGTTCCAGGCCCAGCTTCTTTCTCAAGTCACCAGGCACATAACCCAATTGCCTTCCCATCTACTATTATACAAATCACCCCCATCTGATCCCTTTACTCTTTTTTTCTCTTTTGCTTGACTGGAGATTGAACCTAGGGTGTACCATGCATGAGAGGCAAGTATACTACTCCTAGGCGATACAGTCCCAGTTACTTTTCCTTTTCTTCAAACATCAGTTTGTGGAGACCAGATCAACCTTACTTCTCATGGGTCCAGTTTCCATCCTCAAAGAGACCATGTTTATCTAAGACAGAAAAGCCATCTTTCGAGGATCTCTGTGATCATCTCTGTGATGAGTTCGAGACCAGCTGGTTCCAGGACAACCTCCAAAGCCACAGAGAAATCCTGTCTTGAAGCCCCCCCCCCAAAAAAAAGCCATCTTCCTAGCGCCTGTATGTTTTTTTTGAGATAGGTCCTCGATATTAGCCTAGGCTGGCCTTGAACTCAATGTGTCTCTCCAGCCACAGCTAGTAGTACAGGTGAGTTATCACACCCAGTTTCTTTAATTTCTACTATCAACTGTATGCTTTCTAGAGGTTGAACCCAGAAGCCTCAGGTATGCCAGACAAGCAAGCACTTTATTATTAGGCTGTATCTCAAGCCAAGGGATTAAGAAAATGAATTTTTCTGGGTGTTGGTGGCACACGCTTTTAATCCCAGCACTCGGGAGGCAGAGGCAGGGAGAGCTCTGAGTTCGAGGCCAGCTTGGCCTACAGAGCGAGTTCCAGGACAGCCTCCAAAGCCACAGAGAGACCCTGTCTCGAAAAACCAAAAAGAAAAAAAAAAAAAAAGAAAGAAAGAAAAAAAAAAAAAAAGAAAGAAAGAAAAAAAAAAAAAAAGAAAGAAAGAAAAAAAAAAAAAAAGAAAGAAAGAAAAAAAAAAAAAAAGAAAGAAAGAAAAAAAAAAAAAAAGAAAGAAAGAAAAAAAAAAAAAAAGAAAGAAAGAAAAAAAAAAAAAAAGAAAGAAAGAAAGAAAAGAAAAGAAAATGAATTTTGCTTGCTTTGGGTTTCATTGTGTAGCTCAGACTGGCCTTGAATTTCTATTCCTTCTACCTCTAGAGAGCTGGGATTCTACCCGTGTGGCCATGCCCAGCTCCTTTTATGTTTTCTTTTAATTTTGTTTTCTTTTTAAAAACTTGTTCATTGAAGGTCATCTGGATTGCTTCCACTTTTGGTCTAGTATGAACACAGCTGCTAAAAAGAGAAATTGGATCAGTCATTCAAACATCACTGGTGGTGAAGTTATTTCCAATTTTTTATACCTTTATTTTATGTGCATTGGTATTCTGCCTGTATGTATGTTTGTGTGAGGGTGTCAGAAGCCCTAAAACTGGAGTTACAGACAAGTATGAGCCACCATGTGAATCCTGGGAATTGAACCTGGGTTCTCTGAGAGAGCAGTCAGTGCTCTTAACCACTGAGCCGTTTCTCCAACCCCCAATTTTTTTTTTTTTAATTAGCCTAGAACTCAGAGATCTACCTGTCTCTGCCTCTTGGGGTGATGGGATTAAAAGTGTGTGCATCCACACCAATCTTTTTATTTTGAGACAATTCTAATAGATTTATATGTACTTCTAAGAAATAGAGAAATCCTATGCACCCAATTATTTTCAACCAAAGGCAACATCTTGCAAAGCTACAGTACATCACCACCAAGATACTGATATTGATACCAAGACCCAGGGTAGTCTAGTCCCCTGGTCCCCATTCTCAAGGTTTCATGAAGAATTAAATTGAGAATATATAATTCATATATTTTGTTTTTGCTGAGACAAGGACTAACCCATTAACATAGAACTTGCTATGAAGCCAAAGATAACCTTTTACTTTTGATCCTTTTGCTGGACTTTTAGTACCTAGGCTATAGGTGTACAACACTGTGCCAGATTAAGAGAGCTACCTAGGGTGGGGGTGAAGATGTGGAACCTAAGGCTTCAAATATACTAGGTAAGCACCGTCTAAGCTACATTGAAGCCCCAATGTTCTTTTTCTTAATGTTAGAATCTTTGAGGGAACCACAAATATAGTTCAGTGGTAGAATGTTTGCCTACCATGTACAAAGACCTGGGTTCAATTCCTAAGTTTAAAAAGAAAAAAAATCAGTCAGGTGGTGGTGCCATATCCTACCACTTGGGAGGCAGAGAGGCAGGTAGATCTCTGAACTGGAGGCCAGACTGGTCTACAAAGCTAGCTACAAGACAGCCAGGGCTACACAGAGAAACCTGTCTTAAAATAAAACAAAGGCCAGGCAGTGGCAACACACTCCTTTAATCCCAGTACTTGGGAGCAGAGACAGATGGATCTCGGGGAGTTTGAGGCCAGTCTGGTCTACAGAGTGAGTTCCAGTACAGCCAGCCAGGACTGTTACACAGAGAAACCCTGTCTTAAAAAAACAGAAATAACTTATTCCGATGAAATAAATCTGAAGCATGACATTGAAGTTTTTCCAGTGTAATCTGCATTTTAGTTTACATTTATTAATCATCATAGATATCTTATATTCAAAGTAACAAAGCTCCATGAAAGGGCCAGAAACTAAGTATGTGGCCTGCCTAGTTAGCCTGTTTGTCTCTCCACTACAATAAGATGCTCTCTTGTGGTTATTACTAGGAAAACACTTCAAAAGATACCCCAGTCATAAGGAGCATACTGAAGCACAGGCAAGGCCCTGGGTTCAATCCCCAGCCAAAGATAAAGACAGTGCTTAAGGATTGAATTGATTTGGCATAATGCCAAATCTGTGCTCCATGAATACACTGTATTTGGGGTATAACCTACTGCTGCATTGAGTTGTCCTGAGACAAGATTTCAGACAACCAAACTGTTCATGAACTCATCTTCCTGCCTCGGCCTTCCAAGCACTGGACATGAATTACCATGCATACCTGGTCCAGGATTTTTTGTTTTTTGTTTTGTTTTTCTCTCTCCTCTCTGTCTCTGCATCTCTCTGAGACAGGGTTTCTCCATAGCTTTGGAGCCTGTCCTGGAACTGGCTTGAACTCAACAAAGTCTCCTGCCCTTGCCTCATACCAGAAAGTGCTTCAGATCCATTACAGATGGTTGTGAGCCACCATGTAGTTGCTGGGAATTGATCTCGGGACCTTTGAAGAGCAGCCAGTATTCTTAACTGCTGAGCCAACTCTCCAGGCCCCTCTTGTTTTTATTTTTATTTTATTTTTATTTTTTTTTATTTTTTTAAAGCTGGAGTCTTTTTTTTAAGATTTTATTTTTATTTTATTATGTGTACAACATTCTGCTTCCATGTATATCTGCACACCAGAAGAGGGCACCAAATCTCATAACGGATGGTTGTGAGCCAGCCACCATGTGGTTGCTGGGAATTGAACTCAGGACCTCTGGAAGAACAGCCGGTGCTCTTAACCTCTGAGCCATCTCTCCAGCCCTTGTTTTTATTTTTTAAGGTTTATTTATTATGTATAGTGTTCTGCCTGCAAGTCAGAAAAGGCACCAGTGCTTTCAACCTCTGAGCCATCTCTCCAGCCCCTCAAATTATTTTTTTTCAATATTTTACTTATTTATATATTTTACGAATCAGTGCTGTCTGCATATGCACCTGCATAACTGAAGGAAGCATCAGATCCCATTATGGATGGTTGTGAGCCACCATGTAGTTGCTGGGAATAGAACTCAGGACCTCTGGAGAGCAGTCAGTGCTCTTAACTTCTAAGTTATCTCACCAGCCTCCAAAGTTCTTTCTTGACAGTCAAGGGTGAAATGTTAAAACAATGTTTACTCTCTCCTGGGAGAAGAAAATATAACCAACTAAAGTGGCAGCCCCTGTTGTTATGTAGGAAAAAAATAGCAATGGGAAAGAATTTATAGAGAGAATATTCTCAGTATAGACTAAGCACCATATACAAATGAAAATAAATAGCAGGGTCTCTCCCAAACCCAAGCTCTTATTTATTTGCACAGGCCTGATAATAATTCGCACACATGTGCGCACTCCAGGTTGGCCTCAAACTGTCGCCAAAGATTATTCTGAACCACTACATCCAAGTCTTGGGACTGCAAGCATGTTACCATGCCCAGCTTCAATGATATTTATACAATAATATTAGTAAGCTTTGTCCCAAACAGCTATGTGTTTGATTCACCTATAAAAATAAAAAAAGCTTTAATTGCTCCGTCTCTGGTAAGAAAACTTTGCTAGACATAACAATTTAACACAAAAGGACACAAGACTACACTATCGATCAATATTACTTTCCTTGTATTTGTAATATATTCACATATTAATACTGTGACAGAAAAAGATTAGTCCACATTATGCAGGAGAGATGGGCTTCAATGATCACACTATGAATAATAAAAACACAAGGACTTCCCACACCGCTAAAGCAATTATTCAAGACACCAACTGGATCTTACAGTGCTTTACATCACTCTGTCCTGGCAAGGAGTGAAGGGCATACCCACATAGCCAAAAGGAGTCTCTTCCAAGAAATTGTTTTACTCCATGAAGTAAGAAAATAAAAGCTATACAGTTGGGAAACAGTGCTATCCCAAACAGGAAGTCATCAGAAGAAAGGCAACAAAGCAATCCACAGATTATCATGCATAAAAGGTAATTATACAATACACTCTTTAATGAACAGACATATTAATGAGGCAAAATTTACAGTCATTAGAACACTAATGCTTCTGCCAGATGTTTCAGTATAAAATAATTAATGTCTAAAAACTATACGCTTCGAGTACTTACTTTTAGAACCCCATTGAGATAATAAAGACACTATAACAAAATATTATTATCTGAATATACATTATCAACACCAATATGATACAGGCATATAATTCTCATTTTATATATGTATGGTGGAAATACTGTAAAACCTAGAAAAAGGATGAAAACAGACTGGCCAGAATTTAAATTATCAGACTAATCCATGATAAAAAATATGCAAGAAAAACTTAAATAACTCATCCTTGGTACATTCACTAGCCTATGGAAAGTGCTGTCTGAAAAGAGAAAGAAAATAAAGCCCCCCTTTTGTCTCAAGTATTTAGTTTGTGGTCTGAATTTTTTATTTGATTTCACTGTACCTTATTTTACTTTAATACAGGGTGTTGCTCAAGCTTGTCTCAAACTAGCAATCCTCTGGCCTTAAGTATCCTGAGCTGCTAGGATTACATGAATGCACCACTGTACCCAAGTTCACTATTTTAGTTATTAGTCAGACAGAAAAGAAAAAAAACACTAAATTCAATTAATCATTTCAGAGTAAGAATTCCAAATTAAGCCACATGAATGATGTATCAGAGTTGCTCTCGCACAGCATTTTCTAAGATACAGCTCATAAACCTTATGACAGCATAAATGCATTATTTTAACTGTCTCAAATCCTTCCTCCAGTTACTGAAGAGATGATTTCAAAACATCAAATGGATAGATACACCTGCTAATCCTGAGATGATGATGATGATGATGGTAGTAACGGTGGTGGTAAACAAAACCCCACAATTTTTACTCAAATTTTTGTTTTAGTTTTTTTTGGAAGATGGCTGGCAGAATAGAAAGAAGAGCCAAAATCATCAGAATAAATACTGAGTTCCAGGAAACAGCTTCCCCTGCTGTTGTAAGCTGATACAGAGTTGTTCCTGCCTTAATTGCTACAAAAGAGGGAGGTGCAACACCTAAAACAACAAACAAAAAATAGCAAGTGAGTGGCACTGGCAGCCTGTCAAAGTAAAAACCACCATTTTCTTTTCATATGCATGCATGTTTTGCTCACATGAATGTAAGTGCACCATGTGCATGTAGTGCCCATGGAGTCCAGAAGTGAGCATCGGATCCCTAGAACTAGAGTTACAGACAGGTAGGTTTGAGCCTCCATATGGATAGTGAGAACTAAACCCATGTCCTCTCTGAGTGCAACAAGTACTCTTAACCACTGAGCCATCTCTCCAGAACCCCCAAATCACATTATATATTATCTTTTAGGAACACAGCTAAAGCAGGTACTTAGCAATAGGAAGCCTTGGAACAATCCTAACACACGCCATTCATATGAATTACATTATGTTTTGCTTTGAGACAGGGACTCTCTGTATTCCTGGCTGTCCTGGAACTGGCTCTTTAGACCAGGCTGGCCTTGAACTCAGAGATTCACCTGCCTCTGCCTTCTGAGTGGTGGGATTTAAAGCATGCACCACAAGTGTCTGCCATATGAATTACATTTTTGAAATGATAAAATTGTCTGACATATAGACTCAAGTACAACATGGAAGTAAAATTAATTTCAGGTGTTACTCATTCTCATTTGTCTAGATAGCCCATCCAGTTCTATTAATAGCCCTATGCTAGTAAAATGAAATCTTTGTTATATGCACCAAGATCAAATCTTTCCCTGTTGTTCAATTTTAAAAGTGCACCATTTCTTTTTGTTTGTTTTTGTTTTTCAAGACAGGGTTTCTCTGTGTAGCTTTGGAGCCTATCCTGGCACTCGCTCTGGAGATCAGCCTGGCCTCGAACTCACAGAGATCCATCCTCTTGGCTCTGCCTCCTGAGTGCTGGGATTAAAGGTGTGGGCCGCCACCACCCGGCTGGATAATAAAATTTTTAAAAGCCAGAAAATTTGAGAAGACAAATGAAAATACAAATAAAAAATGTCATCCAAAGAATAACTTCACAACATTAGTATGATTTAAAAGTTAATCATTCCTGTAATTCCTACTACTACTAAGGAGGCTGAGGCAGGAAAGCCATTAGAGATCAAGCAAGCTTTGCCTAAGCAATCTGTCTCAAAGTAAAAAGTGCAAAGAAAAAAAGGACAGCTGGAGCTCTAACTCAATGGCAGAGTATGTGCCTAGCATGCATAAAGCCCTAAGTTCAAGCCCAAGCACTGCCAACATTCCCAACCCCCCCACAAAAAAAACAGGTTGAACATATTATGTAGAAGAGACTTAAAATTAAAATGATAAGGGTTAGGAATATAACTCAATGGTAGAGTGCCAGCCAATCATGCAAAAGGACCTGGGTTGAAGTTCTACCTCCAAATCAGAAACAAAAATAGTAGAAGGTAGAAAGATACTTAAAGTCTGAGTAGACACAGCAGTGTACAATATGAAGTAAATACAAGGACCAGAAAGATGGCTCATTGGTTAAGAATGGTTGCTGCTCTTGCAGAAGATCAGGGTCTGTTTCCAACACCCATGTTGGGTGGGTCACAAACACCCAGAACTCCAGGTCCAGGGAGATCTGGTGGGTCTGACATCCACAGCTACCTTCACCTACACTCACATGCATACTCTCTCCCTCAGACACAACCAAAACAAAAAACAAAAAAAACAAAACAAAGAAACAAACAAACAAAAAAACCCTCAGAACGCATAAGTTTCAAACTTTAACAAATATTCAATACATGCTGAATCTAAGCTATTTAAAACTGCAAAGAAACACAGTACTCTTTCTAAAGAAAGGCAGAATTCAGGGCTAGAGAGATGGCTCAGTCGTTAAGAGCACTGGCTGGTCTTCCAGAGGACCAGAGTTCAATTTCCAGCACCCATATGGCAACTGTCTATAACTCCTGCTCTAGGTGATCCAGTATCCTCACACAGACATACATGCAGGCAAAACACCAATGTACATTAAAAATAGATTATAAAAAAGGGGGCAGAATTCACAAAAGTTGGGGGTTTTGATGTGTTATTGTTTGTTTTTTCCAGTTCTGGGAATCAAGCCCACGCCCTTGTATACTGTAATTAGGCAAGCACTCAACTCTCCTAAATGAATTGCTATGTCCACTTACTCATTTCAAAATGTGGTGTCAATTCCTTGATGTCTGTTGATTTTGCTTTTCCTACACTTCTAATAACAGTATTAAACTGATTTCAACATTTGATTAGAATGAAAGGAAAAAGTTCAAAAACAGAAACTAAATGTTTCTGTCTACTGAGACGGACAGCTTAGTTAAAAAAATTTTGTTCAGGCTGGATGGTGGTGGCACATGCCTTTCAACCCAGCACTTGGGAGGCAGAGGCAGGCAGATCCCAGTGAGTTCAAGGCCATCCTGGTCTATAAAGCAAGTTCCAGGACAGCCAGGACTGTTCCACAAAGAAACCCTATCTGGGGGGGAAAAAATCAGGCTGGGGATACAATGAAGTTTGTGCATCTGAGATGAAAAAGTTATCTCTGTCAAGTTACTAGTCATCACCCATCAAGTCCTTCGGAAGGCCAGAGGGCACCTGGAACCTGGTATACTCACCAGGGAACATGCAGTCCAGGTTCATAAGAAGAACTTTCAGCCAATAAAGCTTGTGACCCTGAGAGCCTGTCATCTCTGATCTAACTGGCTCTAGCTGTCAAAGGAAGAAAGGGCTGCTGGGGCAGAGTTTGGATGGAAATAAAAAGTTCTCTTTGGGCTAAGAATGTTGGTGGTATAGAGCTGCTGGCTCAGCATAGGAAAGCCCCAGGTTTGAGTCCTAGTAACACTAACACTAGCATGCACTTGGGGAGGGGGTACTGCTCAATCTCAGGTTACTAAAATAACATCTAATAGAAAGTACTCATCATTACAGAGATAACACATAACACACTGAACAAGCTATTTATCTAGGCCAGGCTTTGTGCCCAAGAGTTATATATGGTACTGGTGATTTTGTACACAGCAGGCAATCTAGGCCAGCTGGACAGTTGGACATGCACACAATGAGCTGTCACACAGCATGAACCAGAGGTCTTACCTAGAAAAGTGCCAATAAAAAACACTTTCAATGGCACATTTATCACAGGAGATGTAATATTAATAAACCAATTAGGTAGAAATGGTGTGATTCTCAAAAATATAATGTAGTTAATGAGATGTTCTCTATGACGCTCTACCTGTAATTAGAAAAGAATGGGCATAAATTAAGACCAGTATTGAAAAGTAAGCTGCTTAATAGAAAATACCTTAAATTCTTGTTCATGATATATTAGTTTACCCAACAGAAACAATGTGGGTTTTTCTGGGTACAGCATTTGCCTACCATGTGCAAAGCTCAGGGTTTAATACCCAGAACCTCCCCCCAACCCCCACCTCCCACATGTATAAGTAAAATGTCCCCCATCAACTCTATGTATTGAGACCTAGGTCTCTAATTGGTAGAACTATCAAAGGTTATGGAAAATGGGTGGTGGGGCATAGCTGAAAGAAGTCGGCTACCTGAAGGGTGTTCTTTTTTTGTATGTTTTGTTTTTGAGACAGGGTTTCTCTATGTACTCTGGCTGTCCTGGAACTCCATCTATCGACCAGGCTGGCCTCAAACTCAGAGATCTGTCCAATGTCTCTGCCTCCTGAGTGTTTGGGATTTAAGGAACAAACTACCACACCCTAGCTAAAGGGTGTGCTTAGAATTGTATCTTGGTTCCACCCAGGATTCTCTATTTGGTTCCTCTCTGCCATGAGGTGAAAAGACTCTGAAACAAACTTCCTCTGCTTAATGCTCTATCCCACCACTGGCCTAGAATGAACAAAATCATGCCTGTGTTTTTCTCCAGCATTTGTCACAAAGAGTCTAATACACCACAGAGATTATGGTAGCATTTTCCTGTGTGCAGTATATTAACCACTGCCAGTCTTTTCAGAGATCCTGACTGAAAACAGCAGTTTTCCTATTGAAATGCTTTAAGAACAGTAAGCTGAATGAAAGCTTTTCAGTTACCCACTGACAATATGCTACATCCGCACAAAACATGAAGTGACTAATTTTGGGATGCTTTCATATTGGCAATGACTTCTACTAACTGATTTAAAACAAAACAAAACAACAGACAAACAAACTAATGGGGAGAGTTAGAAACAGGAGGATCAGGAATTCAAGGCCAACATAGGTTACATGACAGCCTGTCTCAAAAAAGTACAATTATTAGGGCTAGAGAAACAGTTCAATAGTCAAGAGCACCTGCTGCTCTTCCAGAGGACCTGAGTTCAGATGGAAGTACCCACCCATCAGATGGCTCATAACTAACTACCTGTTTCTCCAGCTCCAGGGGATCTGACACTATTCTGGCCTCCACAGACATGGATATACACACAAGACACACATATACACATAAACAAAAAATAAAATCTGGCCAGGTAGTGGTGGCTCAGCCTTTAATCCTAGCACTCTGGGAGGCAGAGGCAGGTAGATCTCTGTGAGTTCCTGGCCAGCCAGGGATACACAGTGAGACCCCTTCTCAAAACAACAAAACAAAGTCAGAGGAGTTGGGTATGCAGTTCAGTGGCAGAGTGCTAGGTTTTGTATGAGTGAGGGTCTGGATCTTCAGCAGAACACCAACAAAAGAGAAAGACAGAGAACATAATCATGACACGCACCAATGTTCATATTTGCATTCCACAAATATTATTCTAGTCAAAAGATAATTTTTATAAGTTACTTTCATACATAAAGTTATCAAATACATAAATTTATATTCTATACAAACACAAATTGTTTTCAAAGGGATAACCTATCCACTTATAACCCAAGTTATAATCCACAATTTAAAATAAACCAGGGTTCTCCACATCTATCAGCACATGAACAGCCCCAACTAGATGTATTAAGTGTGATGCATTAAGAAGAGAGAGAGAGAAAAAAAAAAGGCTTAGCTGGGTGGTACTAATGTACACCTTTAATCCCAGCATTTGGGAGGCAGAGAGGCGGATCTCTGTGAGTTCAAGGTCAGCCTGGCATATAAAGTGTGTTCTAGGACAGCTAGGGCTGTTACACTGAGAAAATCTGTCTCAAAAAAAAAAAAAAGGATACTGACATTACTGGGAGGGGGTGTTTTGAGAAGTTAGTCTAGAAGGAATTAGGGGTAGAAATAGAGGGTGGAGATGATCAAAATACATTGTATACATGTATGAAACGCCATATAACAAGGTCATATCACAAAAAACTCAAACTGTGGCACTGTATGGCTAGAGAGTTCATACACTAGAGGGAAACAAACTACTGTTGTCTTGCTAAATGTGTATGTTGTCAAAGCCTTCTAAATCTTCATGCTTATATCTGTAGATTGGTGCTGCTTTCAAAATTCCTCATTGAGTCCTACTTTTTTGCAGTAGGCAGCAATGCAGAGACATAACTGGCAAAAGTGCTGACAATAAGTGAGTTGTGGAATGCTCAGACCTAAATGGGTCTGAGGGAACATCACAGAAGAAGGGAGTGGAAAGAATTTAAGAGCTGGAGGATTGGAAGGAATACTGTGAATGATGTCAGGAGTAACATGGCCACTGCTCTCATGATTACAACAGCTATGGCTACTTGCACAAGATTAAGCAATGTTTAATTGCACAGTAAACATTCCAGCATGGATGGAGAGGGATTTATGAGGTTCTACCCCTAGCTAAGAAGCTATTGATAGTTGGAAGCAATCTTAGGTGTCCTTCAATGAACAAGTTTTTAAAAAGAAAGCAGAATTAAAAGAAAACATAAAAGAAGGGGGTCATGTTTCTGAGGTGGTAGGTTACCCTACACCCACGAATGTGATGGCAACACTAATTAGACTTAGTATGTTGGGTGGGGAATAGAGAATATAGGAAGGCAATTAATTCCTCATTGGGTCTAGACAATTCCTCATTGAGTCTCTCTTCCCAGGATATTTTACTTTGTGTCAAGTCAACAATTTATAACTAACCGTCACATGCTTTAAAATAAAGTTCTTATAGGTGTAGTGGCCCAAGCCTTTAATCCCTGTACTCTAGAGGCAGAGGTAGGGCGATAATAGAGGTGAATCTGAGGCTAGCCTGGTCTACAAACTGAGGCCCACCAGGGATACATAGTGAGAAAACAGGCATGTGTGAATATAGTAAAAATACACTGTATGAAATTCTCTAAGAACAAAAATATTATTTTTTAAAAATTTCTTACATTACAAAACCAAAGTATATGCTTACCTGTTGTGACCATTTTACTGCTTTCTCTGTTAGGTATTTGTATACAACAGGTCTTCCAACTAAATAGGAGAGCATGTAGCAGAATGAGGCACCAAGTCCAGAACACTGGAAAATATAAAGACACATGCACTTTGTACCTTCCCATTCTCATTCCTGTAGATGAATTTACTTAGCTGACCTCTTTCAGGGCCAGGCAGAGCAATCTATATTACATCTCTTATTTAGAGAATAAGAACCAATTTGATCTAGTCCTTTCTCAAACTGTAACTCAAAGCAAGGTCAGTTAAAAAAAAAAAATCAGTACTTCCAATTAAACTTTGCAATCATATCCAATAATTACTGCTATCCTTCAGTTTAAAGATAAGGAGCCTTAGCCCAGTGTGGTAGCATAAGTCATTAATCCCAGCATTCCACTCAGGAGGCAGAGGCAGGCAGATAGTCTACAAAGCAAGTCCTGGAACAGCCAGGGCTATTACAAAAAGAAATCCTATCTCAAAAAAAAAAAAAAAAAGAATAAATAGCCCTTCCCATTTCCCCCTATAGCTATACATAAAGATACTACGTCCAGCCCAGGGACTCACTGTGTCGATCTACACTCTTAAGCTATCTGAACTGCAAAAACCAACAGGAAAGAAAGGCTATGTAATTATGTTAGTCTGTAGTACAAAACTTTTTTTTTTCCAAGACAGTTTGGTTTCTCTATGTAACAACATTGGCTATCCTAGAACTCGCCATGTACACCAGGCTGGCCTTGAACTCACAGAGATCCACCTGCCTCTGCCTCTCAAGTGCTGGGATTAAAGGTGTGTACCACCACCACCAAGAGAAAACCAAACTCTCAACAGCTCCTTATGATAGATTTAACAGGAAACACAAGTCTGTTAATTAATCAACCTCAATGTTCTATTTATTTTCCCAAGTCTCCCAATTCATTTCACATACTTACCAAACAAACAAGGAATAAGGCTAGTGGAAAAGGATAAAGAAACCCCGAAAGTATACTGAGAAATATGGAACCTGGAATAGCAAATGTTTGCAAACTGTGAACTTCTAAGTTAAGGATTAAAACATAATGAAGTGGAATTTTCACAAGAAAAACTAACTCAACATTTGAGGAAAATTACAATTCAGAAATTATGTTAATAACCCCAAAGTAATTTTATGTAGTATTATTACTTTGTGTTAGACTGAAACTTACCCCAGGAGCTCAGGAGGGTTTTTCTACTTGTGGTATCATATCTGCACTAAAACAAGTTGCATACTTTGGAGATTCTGGATACTGGTTTGAGGACTGAGAATACTCAATCTGTGGTAAAGGATAATGAATGCCTCTAGCTCTAAGAGAGTTACTATTAACACAAAACTTAAACAAGCAAATAAACACAAGGTTGGTAAAATTATGCTAAAAGGAAATCGAGGACAAACACCCAATACACTGGACAGAGACAAATTAGGCAGCTCGGCCAAAAAAAGTCTTGAGTAATGTATTTTTTGTTTTGGGGTTTTTGTTTTGTTGTTTTTGAGGGTCTCATTTTGTAGCCCTGGCTGATCTAGAACTTTCTTTGTAGACCAGGTTAGACTCAAACTCAAGAGATCCACCTGCCTCTGCTCCCTAGTGCTGAGATTAAAGGCATACTAATATGTACTAATGTAGACTGGCTGTACTAACTATGCTGTGTCTCTATCTATCATTCTCCCATTATTCCAGCTGCTTAGTAACTATGTTTTTTAATACTCAATACTCAAACATAAGATATGTACTCAGTATATACTTACCACTTAAAAAAAAAAAACCTGGTCGGCCAGGCGTTGGTGGCCCACGCCTTTAATACCAGCATTCTGCATAAGCAGAATGTCATATATATAATAAATAAAAATAAAAAACAAAAAACTGGTTAAATGAATAATACTAGGATTAAGTAAGAAACTTTTAAAAGTACAGCCAAAAAAAGAATAAAAGTAATAGCCAAGCATAGTAGCAAATGCAAAAAAACCAACCTCTAGGAGATAGATTCAGAAGGATAAGGGTTTTGAAGGGCAGCCTAGGTTACATGTGAACCTGTCTTAAAACATAAACACCATTTTTTTTGTTTGTTTTTTGGGGGATTGTTTGTTTGGGTATTTTCTTTTTTTTTTTTTAAAGATTTTATTTATTTTATGTTTACAACATTCTGCTTCCATGTATATCTGCACAACAGAAGAGGGCACCAGATCTCATAACGGATGCTTGTGAGCCACCATGTGGTTTCTGGGAATTGAACTCAGGACCTCTGGAAGAACAGTCAGTGCTCTTAACCTCTGAGCTATCTCTCCAGCCCCCCCCCTTTCTTTTTTTAATGTAGACCTTTGAGACACTATAGGAGCTATATGGCTACTGTTAAAGACACTGATAGGTGCCAAGTCTGAGTAGAAATATGTTATGAGTATAAACTACAGAGTATATTTCAGAGAAATAGTACAGAATGAGGTGGGCCAGCTGGGTGGCACACACCTTTAATCTTAGCCCTGGGGAGGGAAAAGCAGGCGGATCTTTTTGAGTTGGAGGGCAGTCTGGTTTACATAGCAAGTTCCAGATCAGCCATGGCTATACAATGAGATCCTGTCTCAAACAAAACAAAACAAAGAAAGAAAGAAAGAAAAAAAAAAAAAACTAACAAAAACCTCAAAAAACAAAAGAGAAGAAATTAAAGTCCCATCAATAATATTTAGGAGCTGGGCTAAGGATCAGTAATGAAGCAGGTACTCAGTCAACTGGAGGTCCTTGATCAATCCCAGCACACACCAGCATTCACTTGGATTGCATTTTAAAATGATAACATTATCTGACACATAGACTACAGTACAACACATAAGTTAAATTTCAGGTGTTACTTTTTCTCATGTCTAGATAGCTCACCTAGTTCTAATAGCCTTGTGCTAGTAAAATGAAATCTTTGTTATATGCACCAAAATCAAATCTCTCCCTATTGTTTACTCAATTTAAAAAGTGCATCTTTTTTCTTTCTTTTTTTAATTTTTCGAGACAGGGTTTGTGTAGCTTTAGAGCCTGTCCTGGCACTCAATCTAGACCAGGCTGGCCTGGAACTCAGAAATCCACCTACATCCGCTGGGATTAAAGGCGTGCATTGCTGACCGCCACCACCTGCTAAAATAGTGTATCTTTTCATATTGTGAGTTTAATATTCCAAAGTACAAGAAGGGGGGCTGGAGAGATAGCTTAGCGGTTAAGAGCACTGACTATTCCTTCCAGGGGTCCTGAGTTCAATTCCCAACAACCACATGTTGGCTCGCAACCACCTTGATTGAGATCTGGTGCCCTCTGCTGGCATGCTGGCAGAAGACATAAAGTTAAAAAAAAAAAAAAAAAGCCAAGTACAAGAAGGGCTAGAGAGGATTGAAGACTTGCTTTGGAGCCTAGTGACTTAAGTTTCATCCCTGCAACTACAAAGAAGTAGAAAACCAGTCTGGGTGTATGGTGGTGCACACCTTTAACAAGTTCCAGGACAGTCAGGGATATGTAGAAACTCCAGTTTTTTGTGTTTGTTTGTTGCTTATTTTTGATTTTTCAAGACAGGGTTTCTCTGTACAACAGCACTAGCTGTCCTGGAATTCGATCTGTAGACAAGGCTGGCCTTGAACTCACAGAGCTCCACTTGCCTCTGCTTCCGGAGTACTGGGACTTAGGCATGTGTCATCACCACCTGGCTTTATTTCTTTTTTAAATTATTGGTTGAGAATTCTATACATGCACATAATTTGTTTTGATCAAGTCTACTCCCTATTCCCAGCCCTCCGATGCCTTCCCTATGCCATCCCCACCACTATCCCCTCCTAATTGTATGAGTTCCTTAAAAAACAAACAAGACCCACACACACACACACACACACACACACACACACACACACACACACACACACACACACACACACACACGCTCTCTCTCTCTATCTCTC